CTTGTACTAAATCCTTTCTCATAATAAAATAGTTTGGCTTGAAATCCTAGTTATCTAATTCCCATCTTAATCACACAAAAGAATATTGGGTAATTTTCCCAACAACTGGTATCAGAGCAAGGTTGATTTATAACATCGATATCTTGTGCGAATCAAGATGGAGGCTACCGTTACCATTGAAGGTGACATGTTCAAACTCACGGCGGACACCGATGATGGAAGATCACCTTTATTGCAAGGATTTGCATGAGCCCATCATCAAGAAGACCAAGCCGGAAGGAAAGGATGATAAAGCATGGGAGGTCCTGAATCGAAAAGCGGTCGCTGTAATTCTTAAGTACATCGATCGATCTCTTTTCGAACATGTTGCTACCTATACAAATCCTTTTGAATTATGGACAAAACTTGAGTCTATGATTCAAAAGAAAATGCCTCGAAACAAAACTCTTCTTGCTCGACGGTAGGTAAAGTTGGAGTATAAGGATGGCCAAAGCATGATGGAGGACTTGAATAATTTCAGGGGCTCATAAATCAGCTAAACAAGATCGAGATGAAGATACTCCTAGGCTCGTTGCCAGAGAGTTGGGTACACTAGTTGTCACTCTCAACAACTCAGCACCAGATGGAAAACTTACCATGGATATCGCCAGTGATAGTCTTCTAAACGAAGAAATTATAAGAAAATAACAAGGTTTGAGCACTCAATCAGAGACGAACGTCATCAATAAACAGGGTAGAGACGAGACACGTAGACACAACAAAATTCGAAACCGAGATCAATCTCGAGGATGTTCCAAATCACGCCCTAGAGTGACATGCTACTATTGTGGCAAAACGAGTCATAGAAAGTCAGAGTGTCGATTTTTCGAGAAAGATCAACAAATGGGTAACATCAAAACTAATCGGTTTAATCCCACAAAGAGGTATGACGATAAAACCACCATTGTTGCGACAAATGAGAATGAAGATGTATATCTCGTTGAAGAATACAGTCCTCTAACTATCGTCTCTGATGGTACTTTATGGATCATCGACTCTGGTGCTTCCTTTCACGTCACCCCTCATGGAGACTTCTTAGCAACCAACCAATGTGGGGAATTTGGTAATTTCCAAATGGGAAATCAAGGAAGAAGCAAGATTGTTGAAAAGGGGGATGTCATCCTTACATCAAACACCGGATGTAAGATCATTCTCAAGGATGTAAGGCAGGTCCATGACATGCGTTTAAATCTCATATCAACTGGAAAGCTCGATGATGCTGGTTTAGAAAATCATTTTGGTGAAGGCAAGTGGAAGCTAATCAAAGGAAACTTGTTCATGGCTCGAAGAAAGAAAGAAGGATCACTATACGTGACCCAAGCTAAGCTTTGCAAGGAGGAGGTAAACGTCGCAAATGTTGACATGGAGTTATGGCACCGGAGGCTCGGCCATATGAGCGAGAAGGGTCTAAATATCCTAGCTCGAAATAAATCTTTCCTTGTATGAAAGGTGTGTCTCTCGAACCATGTTCT